ACATGTAATACAGCCATGCTGTTGTATGCCTTCAAGTTATTTCTGACTTATGGTGACCCTAAGGCAACCCTACCATGGGATTTTCTTAGCACGTATCTTCAGAGGGTGTCTGCCATTGCCATCCTCTGAGGCTGAGAGAGTGTGACTTGCCCAAAGTCACCTAGTGGGTTTCCATGGCTGAGTCAGGATTTCAACCCTGGCCTTCAGAGTCATAATCCAACACTCACAACTACACCATGCTGGCTCTCTTAATACAGTCATATAAACAACTAAATTATAAAATGTATCAGTGAAAAACAAACACTTAGAAATAAACAGTTGCATTTTGTTTTTTAAATTGTTTACCAAATGCTTTTGAAAACATAAAAAGAAGACACAAACATGCATTAAAATTGTCTATGTTAACTTGTTGTTGTTAACTGCCTTCAAGTCAACTTAGACTCATGGTGATCCCATGGATAGGACAGCTCCAAGACCCCCTGTCTCAACCAGTCTGCAGGCTCAGAACCATGATCTCTAGGACTGAATCTATCCATCTAGTATGTGGTCTACCTCTTTTTCTCCTATGAAGCATTATTTCTCCCAATACATCTGATAGTTCTAATGAGGAATCTGTACTCAGGACAAGAGGGCACTGTCAGAACAGAACAGGGAGAAACAGAATGGTTCCCCGTTGGCAAAGGAGTCAGAAAAGGCTTCATCCTATCACCCTACCTGTTTAACTTATATGTAGAACATATAAGAAAAACAGGCTTGGACACAGAAGAAGGAGGAGTGAAAATAGGAGGAGGAAATATCAACAATCTGAGATATGCAGATGACACCATAGTACTAGCAGAAAACCTCACAGAGTTGGAACACCTGCTAAGGAAGATGAAAGAAGAAAGTGCAAAGGCAGGCTTAATGCTGAACATAAAGAAAACAAAAATAATGACCACCGAGGACCTTTACAAGTTCAACCTAGACAATGAAGAAATAGAAATAGGAAAAGAGTTCTCATATCTGGGATCGAACATTGATAGAAATGAGGACTGCAGTCAGGAAATCAGA